GTACACGACCCCCCTCCAAAAACCTAGGCCGCAGCTACATTTTCATCATTTTTTCGCGAAAGCTTCAGAAAAGTGGATTAGTACCGGATCCGGTTGTTTTGTTCCCCCCCGTTTTCCCTTGCAAAAAACACTATAAAATGAAATTTCTTGTTCAAATGTAATCCAATTTCAAGAATCCCTTGCAAAAAATAAGGTAAAGTGGACATTCGCGCGCGCAAGACGAAATCCTTCCAGAACCTTAGGTTTCGTAACGATTTCAACATAAAAACATCAAAAACCCAATGGTTTTTCAAAAAAAAATGTCCAAATTTCATCCCGCGCGCGCTGTCCGACTCCCACAAAACCAATGGTTTTTCAACATTTATGTTACATGAGCTCGCGCGAGCTACTTTTTCTTGTTCTAACATAATCAATATTCCCTTGCAAAAAAAAAGTAAAGTGGACATTCGCGCGCGCAAGACCAACAAAAAACACGACGATCTCAGGAACTTGCCCCAAAAATGTGACCAACTCCGCTCTCTCTGTCTCTCTCTCTGTCTGCTCTCTGTCTCTCTCTCTGTCTGTCTGTGTCATGTATTGTATGTCACAATTGCAGGATGCTGGGCACACGCGCGCCCCGAATAAGTGACCAAGTTCTGTGGGTGTGTACCCCACGCCAGTGTAGTAGCCACGGTCGTCCGCACGCCACGAAGTGAAGTGTCCCAACGTCATAGGGCGGGAAGCTGGGTTTGGGTGGTCGCGAAGAGTCGTTTGGATATTTGGTAGAGCTTGAACTGCCCCCCCACGAAGTGGGGGTATTGTCTCGCGTCGCATGAAAACCCTGGCACTGGTGAGAACACTGAGCGTTCGGGTAAAATGATTGTTGTTGTTGTTGTTGTTGTTGAACATTATTACTTCTAAAGAATAATTATTGTTGGGACCCCTGGTACACGACCCCCCTCCAAAACCTAGGCCGCAGCTACATTTTCATTATTTTTTCGCGAAAGCTTCAGAAAAGTGGATTAGTACCGGATCCGGTTGTTTTGTTCCCCCCCGCTTTCCCTTGCAAAAAACACTATAAAATGAAATTTCTTGTTCAAATGTAATCCAATTTCAAGAATCCCTTGCAAAAAATAAGCTAAAGTGGACATTCGCGCGTGCAAGACGAAATCCTTCCAAAACCTTAGGTTTCGGAGCGATTTCAACATAAAAACATTAAAAACCCAATGGTTTTTTAAATAAAAAATTGTCAAAATCTCATCCCGCGCGCTCTTGCGGATTCGTAGGAAAACCATCACTTTTTAAACAATTTTGTCAAACGGACTTTTGCGAGCAACTTTTTCAAACTTCTGCGACAACGGTTGCGCACCTGCCAGGGCCATCATCCCTGTCAAATAATACCATGCGGGACACATTCGTTTTTTCTTCGCGCATCGGGAAAACGATCGGGACAACCATAACCATCAGGACAACCATCGGGGCAACCATCGAGACAACCATCGGGACAACGATACCTTCTCTCTTGTGTCCTCCCACATCCCTCAGGAAGTTGCCCTAAAGATGTGACCGACTCCTCTCTCTCCTTCTCTATGTCTCTCGCTCTTTCTCTGCTTCATATCTATCATATGAACACATCTATCTCGCTTTCTGCTTCATCGCCTTCCCAGGAAATTGCCCCAAAAATGTGACCAACTATCTTGGCAGTGCGTACCATCTCACGTGTACCGTGTACCACATCTTCTCAGGTTGCCTCACACATGTGACGAATCTCTTTCTATCTCTCTCTCCTCTGGCTCTCTGTCTTGCTCTCTCTCTCTCTCTCTGTCTCTCTGTCTTGCTCTCTCTCTCTCTCTGTCTTGCTCTCTCTAGTCATGCGCAACGAATGCACGATGCGGGGCACATGCGGGGCCCAAACAAGTGATCAACCTCTGCGGGTGTGTACTCCACGCCAGTGTAGTATCCACGATCGTCCGCGCGCCACGAAGTGAAGTGTCCTGACGTCATAGGGCGGGAAGCTGGGTGTGGGTGGTTCCCGAGAGTCGTGTGGATGTTTGGTAGAGCTTGCATTGCCCCCCCACGAAGTGGGGGTATTGGCTGGCGTCGCATGAAAACCCTGGCACTGGGGAGAACACTGAGCGTTCGGGTAAAATGATTGTTGTTTGTTGTTGTTGTTGTTGATGTTGATGATTCATGATGATGATTCTGATGATGATGAATGATGATGATGATGATATGATGATGATGATGATGAATGATGATGATTATGATGATGATGATGATGATGATGATGATGATGATGAGGAGGAGGAGGAGGAGGAGGAGGAGGAGGAGGAGGAGGAGGAGGAGGAGGAAGAGGAGGAGGAGGAGGAGGAGGAGGAGCCTCCCGACTGGGCGGATGGCCTTGAGGGAGGGAACTCCCCTCGGCCACCTCGCAGGTGCCCGGCCGTCGCCGGCTGCAGTCGGCTCTGCTTAGTCGGTCGACCCCGCTGCATCAAGGGTAAACCCTTGTGTCCTGTGCCTCGCGACCAACGCCTTCTGCATTCCTATAGCAATATGGCCCCCGGAAGGGTCTTGTGTCCTCTCGCGTGTCCTCTCCCATCCAGTCCGACTGCGTTTGCACGCCGCGCCAGCCCTGGCCCGGCCCATGCTGGGCCCAGGATCCATGTGCATGTGTGTGTGTGTGTGTGTGTGTGTGTGTGTGTGTGTTCCGTTCCGCCCACTAAGCTGGGGTTCTTTCTCTTGCACGCCGACTCGCCCTGCGCGGTCCCCCAGCTGTCCAGCGGCACGCCGACTCGCCCTGCGCTGTCCCCCATCTGTCCAGCGTCTAGTGGCAGCTCGTGCTCGATCGTGCCCCGCTCTTGCACTCGCGGCGGGTTGCCGTCGCCTTGGATGGGGAGGAGCAGGAAGAGTGTGCGCCCTCCCATCAGGAGGGGAGCATAGACACAGACGCAAGCAAACGCCGATGCCCAGGAACATGTGGGAAAACCTGGGAGGAGGAGGAGGAGGGAAGACGAACACCCAGAGCAACACCGCGGGAGCCCTCGGATCCGTGGCTACTTTTTTCTGTGCCTCTTTGGGCCCCTTTCCTCCTGGCCAGGCCAAGGGGGCCTGCGCGCCGAGCCTGGGCTCAAGTCGGGTCTTGGCTTAGTGAAAAACAGTTGTTGTTTCTTTGGTTTAAACATTTTTTTTTTTTTTTTTTTTTTTTTTTTTTTTTTTTTTTTTTTTTTTTTTTTTTTTTTTTTTTTTTTTTTTTTTTTTTTTTTTTTTATTTTTTTTTTCCCTCCCCCCGACCATTTGGAAGTATTTGTTGAGTATTTTTTCCGTCGAAAAGCCCCCCTGTAGGGGGACAGGCCCGACCTCACCCTGGGCCCCGGCTGGGCTCGACCAGGGCAGCAGCGCGGTGTGCAGTGGGCCCCACTCTCGGGCGCGGGGGCCCTCGGCCTCCGTGCGGCACCGGCCCATCCCGAGAGGCCCTCCCAGACGCAATCGCGTCGTGAAAACTCAGCACGGGCGCTGTTTGCCAGTCGTCGGCCTCGGTTGGGCCCTCGCCGGGCCTCAGACCTCTCAGAACCCCGAGATCCGCTGTAGCGAACAACAGTGGAGCATTGTCGAAGATCATGCCCGGAGCCCTCGCCTTATGTTTCTGTGCCATTTTTCGAGCCAGATCGATCTGTGAGGGCCCCGGGGCCCGAACAACAGGCGAAAACGCCGGTTGTGAAACACTTGCTGCGCCAGGATATCAAAGCTTGATGTCACCGATCTCGGGGGTGCCGTCCCCGGAGGCGACGGTGTCATTCCCAGACCCCCGACATTTCCAGACCCCCGCCTCTGTATCATGTACTCCACTTGTTCAATTTTGCAGTGAGTCGATTTTGTCGTCGATCCCCTGCTCGAGAGGTATCCCAAATGGGTGCCTTGCCACGCAAGCCCATGCAACACCGCCAGCGGGCGAGGTCCCGCCTGATTGGGGGCAGACGCCCCAAGACCCCAATCGGCTCGCGCGTCCCCTCCCTCCCCCCCCATCCGCCTCCCTCTCCCCCCCCATCTGCCTCCCCCCCCCCCATCTGCCTCCCTCCCCGGGGGCCCTTGCCAGGCCTCGGGACCGTCCACAAGCGACTCGGGAGGAAAAGCTGGTCGCGGGGAAGGGGTCCAGACCTCTGGGGGTCGACGTTGTGAAAGAGTCACGACGTCGGGGGTCTGGGGGTGGTGAGGGTGGTCGCGGGGACCCGGGCATCCGCCGATGTGATTGTGTCAATGCGCGGCTGCCAGAGGCCCCGACCCCCTCCCCAGGGTCAGTTTCTCGCCCCGATGGCCCCGGGGCCCGCCCCGGAGTCTGGGCTCACGTCGCGGGGGCCAGCGTCAGTAGCGGTTCCGCCCATCCCCTCTCGCTGACCCGGGCTCAGGAGCCACGCGAGGCCGATGCACCCTGCCCGCCTCTGCGGGCCCCGGCTCGGCAGGTTCTGAGCGGCCGGTCGGGCTTCGCCACAGGGCTCCGGCCGACCTGGTTGCATGCTGACCCGGAGTGGTCCGTCTCCCCCGCAGACCCCCTCGCGCCGTGAGAGGTCCCGACGGGCGGCTGTTGGGGTGATGCTCGCCCTCCAGGGGCGCTGGGCCCCGGGGACCGCCCGGAAAGGACTCGGCACGGGCAGCCGGCCCCGGGTAGGGGGTCCAGGCCTCTATAGGGGTAAGTCGGGCCCGTCCCTCTACCTCCTCCTCCTCCTCCTCCTCCTCCTCCACCTCCACCTCCTCCACCTCCACCTCCTCTTCCTCCTCCACCTCCTCCTCCTCCTCCTCCTCCTCCTCCTCCTCCTCCTCCTCCTCTTCCTAGGCCCTGGCCCAGGACAGGCTTGCAGCGGCCTCTTGTTTCTCGTCCCCCGCAGGACACACCCTCGCCTGCGTGCTGCTCCCACCCACCGATGTGGGCCTCTCTCCTTCAGACTGTACTGTACAACCCTCTTTCCATGACCGACTCATGGCGTGCGTTTGCCATCTCCTCTCGCTTGAGTTTTGCCGATATCGTGATGCTCCCAGGTACCCAGAAGAAGCGCCGCCCAGGAGATGGCGCGGCGATCCGCAAGTGCGGCAAGCAGTGGGAGATCGAGTACGGGTGGCAGAAGGGCCGCCTGACGAACAAGAGTGCGGGATGCTCTCTTCTGCTGCGTTGCCGTGCCTTCCGACGTTTTCATATCCATCGGATCTACGAACCCCCGACCGCCCTCGCTGGAAGGGCAGGAGGAGTCAGATTGCGTTCATCCACACTCGACATTGCCGCCTTCGTCCTCTACAACCCACCGCAACAACGACATCAAGTCGACCACTGGAAGACTACAGTGGCTCGCCTCACCGAGTGGCTCCACGCCACCATCCAGCAGCTCCCGCGTCGTTGCCTTGTGATTGTGGGGACGGACGCCAACTGCGAGTTCGGCAAGACCTCCAGTGGAAATGGATCCTACCAGTACACGGCCGATGGTATCCATGTGGGATCTCACAACACTGCTGCCGAGAATTTCACATCAGCGGAATGGTGGCGCCTACTTCAGATGGAAGGACTGACAGTGGTCGACTCACACTTCCCGACCGGGCCAACCTATTTTGGGCAAGAGGCGGGCCACCGCTCGTACCCCGACCACTTTTTCGCCCCACGGGATACCATAGACGCGACGCTCTCCTGTTGCTCGCTCATGGGGGCTATGCGCGACCTGCAAGTCATCCCACACGCCGACCCGAAGGACCACGCCCCCATGCTTTGGCGCCTTCGGTACCGCCTCCACTACCACGACGACCACGACGGGGACCCGACCTGAGACTGCGACCGACTGGCGGATTTGGCAGCACGGGATCACGACCTCACTGGGGAATTGGAACGCCTTTGCGAGAACGCAGCTGCCACGTGGCGCAGCACATCCCGACAGGACGACCCCTCCGAGGCGTGGCAGTCTCTAGTCCGCGACGTGCGGGGGGCCGCCTTGCCCCTTTTCCAGCGAGGTGCACTACCTGCCCCTACCACCAAGTACGCCCAACAACGGCAGGAACTCCTCGAACGCCGACGCAACCTCAGCAGGCATTGCAGGTCAGAGACCGACAGACTCGCCATCAGGGCCTGCGACCGCGAGACCAAGCGCACCAAACACCGACTGGACGCCCAGCACGTCAAGCAGTTGCTTCGGGGCGCCACCGCAGCTGCGGAACGCGGACACACCACGACGGTCTGGAAGCTGGCTTACCAGATCGGCGGCCGATACCACGGCGTGAAGAATCGACGCTTCAATGCGATACCACACTACCTTCTCACCCTGGACGAGTGGACGACGACACTACTGGCTGGTGCGGCGGAAGGAGGCTTCTCGGCAGTGCAGGTCCCTGAGCCCGAATTCCCATCGGAGATCGCCTTGGCGCTGCGAGAGCAGAACGACCCAGACGGCACCTGGAAGGAACTACGCGGACATCCTGCAGCGACTGCCCACGACGACTGGACTGACACGCTGCGGCGTCTCCGACATGCGGCCCGCAGGCGCTGCGCCCCGCCCCGCTCCGCGCCCGCAGAGCTCTGGTGCGCCATCCTCAGGGCGGCCAGCATCGAGGCGCGAGGCGACCCGACTGGTGTCCCCGATGTCAGCGACCGACCTGCACGACCACGACGAGTACCGCGCGTGCACTGCCCGCGCCTGGCGGAGCGTCTGGCGACCCTCTTTCGACAGATCCGCACCGCCTGCCGCGCGCCGTCCTGGTGGCACTGGTCGAGGGGACGTTTCAACTTCCCAAAGGCATTGACAAGGTGGGGACTAAAGCGATGCGACTGATCCACTGCTACTGCCCCTTCGGCAAGGCCTGGTACCGCGGGATTTTCACCAGGCACCGCCGCCCGCCGCTTCCTCATCACTCTCACGGGTACTCCAGTCATCGTTCGAGGCAGGGCGCTCAGCTGGTTTCCAAGCTCCATGCTCGGAGGCTTCGCCGTCTTCGCGTCAACCACCTTCAGCTCAAGAAGGACATGACCAACGCCTTTCCCTCCACGTCCCACGACGTCTTGGAAGAGGTGGTGGGCCAGATCATTCCAGACGTGCAGGACCATCTGTTCCTCAAGCAGCGCCGCGCCGAGGCGGTCATGGAGGCGCGAGCGGGCGACGCTCGAGGCTTCTACGTGCCCAGACATGGCGCAGGCATGGGCGATGGCAACGCCTGTGAACTTCTCGTCCGATCATGTGTGCGACCTTTGGAGGACTGGAACCGTGAGCTCCTCATCAACAGCAGGGGCTCCTTCCACCTCGCGGGCGGCTCCGCAGTTCCGCTGATGGAGGCCGCCACCCTCGTCTCCTGCCCGTGCTCGGGGCAGCTCGTGGATTTGTCCCTGCGTGATCATGCCGGTGATGTCTCGCAGACGTTGCCACTGCCAGGCAACAACCCTTTTCGTGCCGCGGCGGTGGCCGAGCAGTCCTCCGACCTTCTGGCGGCCAAGCTCAGAGCCCAAGGCGGCTTCGCGCAGAATGCATCCAAGGAGCTCGTCCTACCTGTCCTCGGCGGCCCTGGAGGGTACACGGCCACCCGCACCGTCCTTTCGGGACTCGTTTCTTTTCCTGGGCAGCCCAAGGCCCAGGCGGCCTACCTTGGAGGCTTGGAGCAGCTCACTGGAGGCGCGGGGGCGGAGGTTCGAGTCAGGATCGATGCGACGAGATCAGCTTGGTGCAAACTGGGTCGTTTCTGGAAGCAGCACGTCTCGCTCAGGCTCAAAAGGATGGCCTTCTTGGGTGTTCTGCAGAGCGCGGCCTACGCGGGCCTGGGGACTTCCCTTCTGGCCAAACGGGACTACGCCAAATTGGATGCCGTCCTCTTGGGATTCGCGAAGGTCGCTCTTCGGGGAGTAGCCAGGAGTAGGGATGCCGATGGGGTAGAGCAGATCCGAGTTCCACACGCCTGGCAGGTCCACAAGCGCCTGCGCATCGCCGACGCTCGCACCGAGCTCCTCGTACGCAGGTTGAGGTATTGGCAACAACTCGCCAAGTACCCCGAGTCTTCTGTGCAAGCGGTCGCCGCGTTGCTAGGGAACTTTGAGGCGTTGCAGGAGGCGCCTGTGTTCACCGAGTCTGGATGGATAGACAAAAACGCGAACCCGTGGGCCCTCCAAATGCAGAAGGACATCCTCGCCTTCAGGCTCCCCCCCAAGGGCAAGCTCTTCTTGGGCCAGGGTCACTCGATCAGGGGCATCTTTACTCAGTATAGGGTTGCGGCTTTCTTCGCTAGTCGGGACCCCGCTGGGCTCCGCAAGGTGCATTGGGACCAGGCCTCCTCTCGTCCTCTTGTGCCTCCGCAGGACCTCTCGGCCCCCGGGGCCCCACCAGTTCCCGAACCACATCAAGGACATGTGTGCGAACTTCCCCTCGGAAGCGGTGGGCCCTGCAATTATGTGTTTGTCTCCAAGGCGGCTCTCAAGGCCCATCAATGTCATCATCCCGCTCATAGGTGCCGTGTACCCATCCATCAGTTGGTCGTCACTAGCCAGTGTTTCTACTGCTCCTCGACCTTCTCCTCGGACGTCCTTGCGAAGCGACGCATTGTGCAGTCGCTGAAAATGAAACGGTGCATCGCCGACTTCAGCCCCTACTCGCCCGCCCTGAGAGTTCCCGAGGTTTTGTTCTGCCCTGTCTGCTTAGATCCCGAAGTCGTGCATCCAGTCCATAGTACGAGGCTCCTCTGTACCGACGACGCCAGGGCTCAAGGTGAGTTCTCGAGTTTGGAGGCACTCCAGCGCCGCATCAGAGAGGTCCCCGCTCCCCCCGCTCCAGAGATCCACTTCGATGTCGAACCTCGCGGAGCGTGCTCTGAGCATTGGGGCCGAAGAACGCCAGCGCGAACTCAGAGGCCGCCAGCGCGGAGAGGACGATCGTACCCGCAGCAACGAGCGAGGAGCGCCCCGCCGCTCACGCAGAGGAGGAGGCCAAGGGGTGGAGGCACCGCCGGCACCAGCAGCCGCCGCGGCAGCCGCGGCTGGGCCAGCCCCCATGGTCTGGGACGCCACCGACACGCACTTCGGCTTGGCCCGACAGGATGTCGCCAGCTTGCAGCGCATGCCGATCGAATGGGTTCAGGCCGTCGTCCCAATCCTGATGCGGATGTCTCTCCGCCACGAGCAAGGCCTGAACCAACTCGAGGCCGCCAGCTACCGACGCGTGCAGATGCCCACCAAGCACGACGTGGTCCAGTCGATGCAGCTGACCGCGAAGTACTACGGCACGGAGGCCGCCAGGATCAGGAAGGAGAAGCGCGAGCAGCTGGAGTCGGGCCAGACAGTCGACGAGCTCGTAGCCCTGGGCACCCCCCACCCGCACGTGTGGATGGCGCTGGTTGGCGCCCTCATTGCGCAGGGCGAAAAGATCGGACAGCAGAACTTGGCGGCGCTCACGCAGTATCAGCAGAAAGTTTGAGAAGTGAGTCGTATACAGAATTGAAAATCCTCATAATTGCCGTTTTACTTAGTTTTTTTTCTTTTTTTGTCTTGGTCTCCTTTGGGCGCTCTTTGGGTTTGTGGGCCCGCGGCTCATCCTAAAGCGCGCCTGGTTTGTGGGCCAGAGGCGTCTTCGAAGCGTGGTGGTTTCTCGGGGTGCATATGGGACGTTTACTTGGGTGCCTGCTTGTACGCCAGGGCTCTTCAGGATTCATCTGCCTTCCTCAGGATGTATCAGAGTTCGGTTTTTAGGGACTGACCCAGGTGTTCTTAGTTTTCCCTTCAACTTCTTCAGGATTCCAGGATGTCTACATATTCAATCGGATTCTGCATGTTGTGGGGAGGGTGTCTTGGGGAGGGGGTGTCTTGGGGTGTCTGGGGGTGCCCACACTTTCCTCACGCGCCCGTCGTGCCCTTTGGGTGGGCGCGGTCGTCTTCGCCCGCCTCGCGGGAGGAGACGGCAGCCCAAAGGGCGGTGCTCCTGGGGTGGGCCAAGCCGTCTTCCCCCGAAGCACAGGGGGGGGACGGCCTAGCCCTGGGGGCACCAGCGGATTGACAACGACACCAACTCATACATGATGAATGTTTCGGGTGTATTGTGGCCTCAGGCGTCTTGGGTTCATGGGGGCCGTAGGCGTCTCTGGGGGGCGGGGTGTCTTGGGGCCATGGGCGTCCTGGACTGTCTCGGGTGCCCTGGGTGCCTTGGGGCTATGGGCTCCTGGGGGTGTCTTGGGGCAATGGGCGTCATGGGGTTTTAATGTTGTTCCGTAGCCAGTTTCGCTCAGGCCAACAGAAGTTCTGAGGGCTCGCCTGCAATGCCCAGGCAGCCGCAGTCCGCATTCGAGCAGATCATCCAGGGCACCGTGACCGTGCTCCCTCCCACGCCTGTGATGGACGAGCGCTGCAGGACGCCGTCTCCAGCGCCGTCCAGCGCGAGCCTGAGCAGTCGGGGCAGCCGTAACAGCCGTCTCAGCACCCGTCTCGCAGCCGCTACAGGCGCTGATGTGCCAGCAGATCAGCTCCCAGCTCATGACAGCCGTATCCTACCTGATGTGCCAGTAGATCAGCTCCCAGCGCATGCTTCAACAATGGCGCAGGTTAAGTACAGCGAGTGGTTGTACGAGCAGCAGAGGACGCTTGCGGAGCTGACCTGGATGCAGCGGCCACGTGACGTTAGCATCATCATCCCCCTTGGAGGCGGCAGCGTGCACGTCGGCTTTGACTACAACGGCATAGCGACGCACTGGTGGATCTGAGAGCGCGCCAATAGCCACCACAGTAGAGCGGACGCGCCAGTTGGCGGATTGCGGCTCAGGAGAGAGACAAGTCTCTCCCTCCTCTCCCTCGCTTCCCCCCGACTCCCTCCTCCTCCTGGGGTGTCTTGGGGTGTCTTGCATGTCTTGGGTGGATGTATTGGGGTGTCTTGGGGAGGGGTTGTCTTGGGGTGCCTTGGGGGTGTCTTGGAGTGTTTTGGGTATCTTGAGGTGTCTTGGGGTTGGGGAGAGCTTGGAGTGTCTTGGAGTGTCTTTGCATTACAGATCGCACACGAGCTTATATTAAGTTGAAGGCACGACATAAGCTGCACTAAATGTAATACGACAGAAACGACGCTAAATCTGCCACTACAGTACGCGCCAAACGAATACACTACATTACAACACGATGCGAATGCACAACGCTAACACGCTAATATAGTACACAATACAACTGCACGGCGCCAATGCACTACACGAACCTATTGCGTAATCAACCTGCGCTACTACACGACGCGCCGGCCCTACGTTATTACGGCAGCTAATGGTACACCGCTACGCGACACTTACTTAATTAATGCGCGACACTGAGCACGCGATGTTTAGTACGCGACACTTTACGACGCGCTGCCTAGTCCACGACGCTGGCGCCGTCTTGGGGCAATCTGGGGCCTCTCGCGGGGCTCTCTTTGGCCACCCCCAGGCCTCCTTGAGGCATTGGCAAGCTGACGGGGGCGAAACGGCGGGAAGGCAACAAACATTGAGTGCCTTTATGGTTGCGATGGGTTATGGCTTCTCGGAGGCTCACATTTGAAAGGCTTCGCGGCTCGAAAAATGACTTCTTGGGCTCTCTGAAGGCCCCCCTGGAACCATGCAACAACACGAATCATAATTGTTGATGTCGTGGCATGAATTGGCGTAGCACGTCCGTGTCGCGTATTCGCGTAGCGTTGTCGTGCAGTGTCTTCGTAGAGCGCATGAGTGAAGTGTATTTTTGTAGTGTATGTGTGTAGTGCATTAGCGCAGAGTGTTCGCGTAGTATCAGGTGTTAGTGTATTCGTGTAATACGTTGTTATAATGTTTTGGTGTAGTGCGTTCGCGTGGTGTACTAAGTCGCGCATGCGTGTTTTATTGAGAATTCGGTGTGGCTGCAGCGCACTCCCATGCATGTCAGTGAATATATTGTTGGGGTTTGGTTATGCTGGGTTATTTTGGGCGTGGGCCCCTTCTGGAACCCCCAAAGCCCCTCATGAACCCCCTGGGTTTCGCGTGGCCACCCCCCAGGATCCACAGGGACCCTCTGTGATTCCCCAGGTTTCCTCATGGCTTCCCAGAGAACGGTTACTTACGGGCCCCTACTGTCCAGTCTGTTTTCTGATGCCCTCTACGTCCCCATACGGTCCCCAGTTGCTCCCTGCTGCCCCTCGCGGACCCCTACGGTCCCCTCTGTCTTATGCGGCCCCGTCGGTCCCCTACGGCCTCCCGCTGTCCCCTGCGGTCCACTGCGGGCCCCTACGGACCCCGACGGTTCCTTGCGGTCCCCTGCGGCCCCCTGCGGTCCCCTACGGTGCCCTATTGTCGCTTTGGTCGTCTGCGGTCCCCTACGGCCCCCTACGGTCCCCATCTGTCCCTTACTGTTCCCCGCGACCATCGTCATCGTCGCCGCCGCCGTCGCCAGCCCGTCTCTTTATACGTATGCCCTCGCCCTCATGCTTCTCGCCCCCTCACCCCCCCCGTTCAGCCCCCCCCCCCCCGCGACCTCGACTCCGCCGCTCCCTTCACCCCTCCGCCTGGTGTGCAAGTATGCATCCGCTTTCCCGCATCTTGCCCCCTCGCCGTGCCATCCTCAACCTTGCCCTCGACAGACCAGGTTGCTCTGCCGTGTGTGTACAATTACTATCTTGCCCCCGCGTCCCCTGCCCTGCCACATCTTGGTGAATTGATACGCCTTGCCCTCGTCATTCCGTTCACAGCAAGAGGGGGTGCGCATATGTGCAGCGCGCGGTTGTGCCTGTACGGTTGGGCCCAGCGTCGGCGAACATTCATACACGATCTGCGCCTGTTGCATGTACTTGCATTGTGCACTGCATTGTGAGACTGGCATTGCATGGCGGTGCATTCATGTGATGTGGTATGTGTTGCATAGGCTTGCATTGTCCACGCAATCAGTGCATGTCCTGCGTTGCCTGAAGTGCATTGCGATGCGCGTCAGTGCAGGGATGCATCATGATCCGCATTGCTTGTTTGGCTCAGCAGCTAAGCCTGCACGTCTTCGCCGCGCACGGGGCTGTCCGCATACCGAACACAGGACAAACGATGGGCAAAAGGCGTAGCAAATCGAGCAGTGGTCCAGATCCGATTCAGAGCTTGTTGACTTCTGGCATGAAGGCGTATTATGGTAAAAGTGATGATATTAAAAAAAGAAAGGGCTCAGATTCAGACGACGAGTCTGATGATTACATATATGAGGCAGAGATCGAGCTTCGAGCACGCCACCGCAAGTACGACAAACTAACGATCAAACAGGTAGAGTATATTATCCTGAATTTGAAAGGTGTCGGAGTGACAGCA